GGAGAGAGAAAGAGAGGAGGAGAGAGAGAGATGAGGAGAGAGAAAGAGAGGAGGAGAGAGGAAGAAGGGAGGAGAGAGAAAATTACCTTACAAAAGGGTACCAACTCTTTTCTTCTCTCTCCTCTCTCTCTCTAAGACACACCCATGAATTCAAGAGGAAATTGAAATTTTATTGATCGTTGTGTGAAATGAACGGAAGGTCCTTTATAATTGGGCTTTATACGCTACATAAAATTGGGCTAAAACATGAGTGTACACCATAAAACTACTTAAAATTGAAGATAATTAAAATTTTATTGAATTAAAATAAATTCTAAAATGATTGTAAAAAGACTGTTTTTCCCTTGGCTAACAACGTGTGGAATTCTAGAACAGTCCCTGCTGCTGCTTGAGAACTTGCGTGATCTTCCATGACTGATCCGGGGTTGTTCTAATGCCCGTTAGATCGAAAGATGATTATTTTCTTGTAGGGCTCGGCATGACGATCAATTTGATACAAATTTCGATCTATGGATCGTGTTCTTACGCCACGATCATGAGACTTGAATTGTGGATGAATTGAATTATGGATGAATCTTGAAAATTTCAGATCGATAGTGTGCTCATTCCTTGATTTTTTTTCTTCATTTTCTTCACTGAATCACACTGGGCATGCCGTCATGATCATATTGCAACAAACGCAGCTCGATTTCGTGTCCGGATGAAGATTTTGTCGTCTTGAGTTTTTGGTTGGAATCTTGAAATCCAGCAAGCGAAATTTACAACAGCTTCGATGCCTTCATTTGTAAAATCCAACCATTCATCGTATGTAGGGTTCAGGCCAGAAATGGCCACGGACCTCACGCACATAATGAAATTGGTTTCATGCCGATCGGGTATGCGAGCATCGTGATTGGGTCGCCGGAGTGGGGTGTGCTGCTGCTGAATTTTTTGCAACTTTTTTCGCAGATCAGCAATTTCCCTCTAGTTTTCCTTTCTGCTCGGGCATCATCATGGGACGTACCACATATCGAATCGCTCGTCTTGACGAGACGGACATGCTCACAAAATTTGAACGCGATCCAACTCCGAACGAGTGAGATATGGGCCCCAAAATTCACTGCTCATAAATGTAAAAATAGTAACCTTTAATGGTGTTTTGGTGTAAGGTGGCCACAAGGGAATAGTATGCGGCTCACCCCTTTTCGGTATTTTTCCCATAAATTTTCTTGAAGGGCCCGATTAAGCCGAAACTTGACCTGTAGCGGTTTTCAACTATGTCGAATCCAATGGTAGTGATCCCACAGTAATTTAACGCATCAAAAAATATAGTTATAGTTTCGAATGCGTCAATGGAATTGAAAACGTAGATTGGTAGTTGAGGCTCAAGTGGTGCTACCACCACGACCTCAACCCCATTCCCACCATCATTTCTAAGAAGATAACAAATATAAGATGCCAAATGAAGTTTAATATCTACACACGCGCACGTGCAGAGAGAGAGATGAGGTATACCTGGAGAGATCGATTTATCATAGAATTGGACACTGATGATGGGAAGTTGGAGTCACGAGCTCAATCATATGATGATCAGCACTAAGCGTGCGTTTTTGAGAATTTTAGTATGCCTGGAAATGTTTACAAGCTTGGATTTTAGACCAGGTTTCCTTCATTTATTTTTCTATTTTCTCGTTATTCCAAATATCTATTTCCTTATCAGTACATGCTACCTCTGTTGGATTAGAAACAGACTCACATAGAAGCATATTCATGGCTTTGAAATTTCCATGCGAGTATATCAATTCCTATTGTGCATAAAATAGTTTTAAATAAACATATTTGGGATGTGACATTCTCTCGATTTACATATATAAGTACACAACAAGATACACTTTAATGTCATGCCCAAAATCTCTAACTGCTGATGGGAAGATAATTCAAGGGCAAGCACAAAAAAGAACCAGATTAGAGATGCCCAGCCACCAAAAACAGATTAAGAAATGCCTAGCTGAACATACCGCAATGGCACTAGGTTCCAGCTGTATTGTCATGTTTTTTGTAGCACAAATCAAGCTGTTGACAACTAAGGCTACAATAGATAAGCGTTTTCTGCTAATCATCGCCTCTAGAAGATTTTCATAAAACCCTTGATGTAGAATGCAGCTTAATATACAAATATTGAAGACGGAAGATGATGTAACTAGTAACTAATGTTGTGTTTTACAATAAGACAGACATTCTAGAGCTTTGTTCCAACTTGAAATCACCATGTAAACTAAAGGTTAACACTTGAGAAGTGCATTAAGTAAAAGGTGTGGTTTCCACAAGTTTCTAACCTTAAACAATCAGAATAAGGTGCACCTCCAAACTTTGCTATAAAGGTGTAATTTTCGTGTCGAAAATTCTTAGGGTGGCCCGAGAATCTATTTTCACTCTAAATATAAAACTTTAAATTCTACAAATAATTCAAATCAAGCAGATCTATAAACGAATAAAAATCTTAAAAATAGACAGTCCGGATAAGGTATTGCAAGAAGAACCATTTTTGGGACTTCAAATCTTCTTTTTTTTTTATATGCATGCATCTCTATTTTGAGATGATCAATTAGATGGTTTTCCAATATCAGAAGAGCCTTTCTCAATGGATTTTTGAGGTGCAACTTAACTCTACAATTTAAGGCATCAACCTTATATAAACTTTTCCTCAAGTTAATACATATAATTATGAGAATGTCACCTGGTCTATGTGTGAAATCAGGCTCTATGCCATTCCCATTGATATCCATGTGACTTGGTGTGACATACTTCCCAATTGTCACAACCACACCAGATCCATCATCGAGTTCAAATACCAATTGGATCAGTCCCTGTACACAAGTATCCAAATTGGAACCATGATCAAAGATTACAAAGAAAGCAAGAATTGATGTAATAATGATATTGAGAAAACAAAATTATAAATGACTGCAATAATGACCTTGCCAAAAGTTTTCTCCCCTACAAGCACTGCTCTGCAATTATCATGGAGTGCCGTTGCCACCTGAAAAACATTTATGGTTATAAAATACAAAGTTTTGTATAACATTTGAATCAAAACTAGCTTTATAAGGAGGTCGGTTGCTCACTATTTCACTTGCACTTGCAGTTCGGTTGTTAACAAGGACCTGTATTAGAAGTAACAGGAGGTTTTAGCCCTTCACATGCAACAAAAACAAGGCAAAGTAATAATTACTCACAGCAAAAGACCTGAAACTGGGCTCGGTACCATCAAAAATAGCAACTCAACGAGTAATAGCCCAATAGCTGGCTCATGCTCAATAAGGAGCTTTGAAATTGGCAGGTTAAACTGAATTACACTGCTGATTGGCATTGGGTCGGTCTTCGGGGCATACAGATTTTCCTACATAGCTTTTGAATCATCAGGTTAACTATATTTCAGCAAACTATTCTAAAAAACCAACAATTCAGGAGATGTCTAATCAATTTGATTTGGTCATGAGGGTTTCTTAAAAGTAGATTACATGGAATCAATACTCCTATCAATTTTCTTGATCCCTATCTCCTGCCATGAGATGCTATCATGCGAATAGTATGGCAAAACTTGCAGCTTGATGGGGTTGCACATTGCTAGGCTAGTAGTCACATAAATCACTCCAAATTAAGGTTGAGGAGATAAGGCACGATATGGAAGTGGGAAATGAAAGTAATTCTTATTGTACATTGGCCCAATGCAGCTTTGAGAAGAATCATATTGCCCTTAACTTCTATTGCTAATGAAGGCACCAAGTGCACAGCTTATGTATGCATGTGTCTCTTCATGTGCGTATTGTGTACTTATCTTTTGATAGTACGTGACATTATCCAGGAAGTCAAGTGACTCATACTTTTTTATTTTATGCATAAATAATACAAAAATATTTTCCCCACCAAATTCACCTATATACATTATGCAACTCTGCGATGTCAACATACTAGAAGAATCAAGCATAGTTAATACATGCACTTGCAGCAAACTGGACTGATTTTAAATGACCCTTTATATTACTGAATCACTAATACTGTGAGAATCATTATGCAATTCATTCATTCTTGCAGAGTCAAACTTAGGGCGGTGCAAAGAGGGACATCAAAAATAAACAGGCAGGTAGGATATGGAAACTCAGTTAATTCTGATTTTCGTGAATATAAAATAGATGTTTAAACATCAGAATGCATGCTCCAAGTAAACGCAAAACAATACCATTACAGGAGCAGATATTAGAGGTGCAGTTTCAGCCGTGATACTTCTTTGCAACTGTGGATCCCTCCCAAATGTATATATCATCTGGATGTGCATAAATACAACAGCTTCATGGGAAAAAAGATCCTTCAAATCTGAAACAAAGCTCTATTAACAATTACAGATAAATTATATTTCAAGTAGGATTGGAGAAGGTATTACTAAAAATTAACATAATGAAAAGGAAAGAAAAATCAGTGAGTGAAACTTCTAGGTGATCAGTTCAGCAAACAGATGATATCAATTGGTTCCATCTTTTCCAACTCGATATTGGGGTGCTGAAACATCTATCTTTACCTTATTAATGGGGATTGATATGACACGTAGTATACATTTCTACACTTCATGCAGTATCAAATGTCCTTTCTAAATGACGCAAAGTAGAGATAGACCATTCCTCATTGACCATACAACTGGAGAGGAAGGGCTCATCTCCATCGCCAGTCAATGGGACCGGATAGCAAAGACCTAATAATAGACTTACCCTGTTCCCTTATTTACAATTCCTAGTCGTTCTGTCTTTAACAAAAAAATGAAAGGAAGTTACATTCCCAAGGTCACGATGCTAATCTTTCTATATAGAACAGGAATTTAACAATATCAATAAAGGGAAAACATTGGTAGCTGCATTGCAGTTGAAAAAAAAAAAAAGGGCAAAAAGACCCATATGGGAGGAAAGTTGAATGTATGAGATTGTTCCAAATGCCCTAAAAACTGCTGGCATGGCTTCGAAAGGTAATGTGTCATGCGCAAAACTTATCATGTGCAATGGTTTAAGCGCAGTTGTACTTGATGCGAAATTAAGAGAGCTTCATGATCCTAGATTTCTCTAATAATGTGGTGATGAGTAAACGATATAAAAGAAAACACAGATTGAAAAAGTGGATCATACACACGTGTGCCCACGAGTGCAAGCATGCACACGCACTCACACACATCCATACATGCACACACACACTGCAGTCTGTATAAGGTGTCAGGCTCCAATAACCAAGGGCGCACCTCCAAACGGTGCCGGAAGTTGCAAGTCGAATACCTAAAACCCCTACATGACCTAAAAATTCATCACTAATTATGAAATTCAAATCTCCAAAAGTGGTGCAGATCGAGCAAATTTATAACGACTAAAATTTTTTTAAAATAGGCGGTTCAGATAATGCATTACAAGATGCACTATTTTAAGGATTGAAAATCATTATGTCTCCATATTTGTACATCTTGTGATAAAGACGATAAATTTGAGAGTTTTCCAGGGTCAAAATAACCTTTTTTGGTACCTGAAATCATGATTGTTGTACGATCCTAAATTTCTCCGATATTCTCAAATGTCATGCATGGTGATGAATAAACCATAGAAAAGAAAAACGAGATGGAAAAAATGGGTGTTACACACCCACAAACACTGCAGTTTATATAAGGTGTGAACCTCAAAACCTTAAATAATCAAATGAGCACCTCCAAACCATGTCAGAAGATGCAGTTCCAATGATGAAAACCCCTACGATGACTTGAAATCTACTTTTACCCCTAATTACGAAATTCAAAGCTCCAGAAATCGTGAAAATCAAGCAGATCTATAAAAAACTAGACATTTTTTAAAATGGACGGTCTAGATAATGCACTACAAGATGTGCTATTTTAAGGACGCCAAATCATTTTTTCCTCTCCATAGTGTGCATCTCAAGGTCGAGATGATAAATTGGAGAGTTTTCCACAATTGGAAATACCTTATTGGTAGGTTTTTGAGGTGTGCCTCCTTTGTATAGTGTATAAGCTTTATATAGATATTAGGGATATAGAAGCAGAAAATAGAAACAAAGTTTTCATTCCAGCACGTGTATACCACATACGCACTTTAGATTGGTCCTTTTATACCACAATCTAATAAATACATAGGGAATATTAGCACATCTCAAAGAATAAAGAAAGGGACTGCAAATGGCTGCATTACAAAATGGACGCGG